ATTATTTTAAATAATCGATTATTTTCGATCAATCTATTATTATCAATAATCTATTTTTATTGTATTTCCTTTAAAATCGATAATTCGATTATCTTTGAAATATCAAAAATAATCAATAATTCCAAAATAATCGCCTAATCGAAAATAACCAATTAATTAAGAAGCCGATTCTATGATAAATCGATTTTCCAAAAAATAAAACGAATTATCTATTATTTTCTAATAATCTTTTTTTCATATTTCCTTTGAAATTGATTATTCGATTATCGAAAATAATTGATTATTAAAAAGCTGATTATCCAATAAATCGATAATTTTAAAAAAATAACCAAAATATCGATTATGTAAAATAACCGATTATATTCAATCGATTATTTTCATATAATATCTTTGAAAAATCGAAAATAATCAAATAATTAAAAAACCGATTAAACGATAAATCGATTATTTTGAATAAATCTACTTTTTTTGTATTTCTTTAAAATCGATTAATACATTATCTTAAAAAAAAACGAAAATAATTTATTAAAAACAGCGGATAAATAGATTTTCATTAAAAAATATCAGAATTATCGATAAATCGATTATTTTTGTAACCCCTATCGGTCGCTTGCTTTTATCTGAGCATTTAGCTCCAAAATTTAGAGATTCAGATTTTTTGATCCAGTTATCTTTGAAATCGCATTCGCTTGTATAATAAATAAATATTGCTAAATTTTGGATTTTTTTTAGTAAACGAAAATTATGTTCGAGTTGTTTAGGGGTTTGTAATGTAATGATATTTTAGATTAACACTGTCATTTTAATCTCCGTTTAACACAACGGTGGAATCGGACCTAACTCCTGTAACTTTAGTATTTTTTTTTGCTTGTACTAGATTACTTTGTTTTAAGACTGAAAATTCAATGTCACTTTCGATTTGACCGCAAATAAGATGAACCTTGAAATTTTAAGTAGGTCATCCTGTATTTCATCTAATATTCTTATAAAAATACCATATAAAAATAAAATTTAGCTAGCAACTATGATTCTTTACCTCTTATTTATCTACCAAAAAGGGTTAAAAACTACCTTTAGAAAACATTCTTATAAAACTACTTTTTAAATACAAAATTTCGTTAGCAATAATGCCTATTTACTATTTATTTAAATTAAATGTTCAAAATTTTACCCTTTTGTAAATTTATGTAAGTAATATGAAATCTGAGTTTGTGATGCTTAATATTTATTGAAACCCCTTAATGCGGATCTGAAGTATTCAGCCCAGAGAATCATGGCGCTTTATGTCAAAACGTTAATAAATATTTACCGCTGAAAACGAATATATTCATAACAGTAGTACTTGTATTATAAGTACATACAATTTTTCAAGATACATCGTGACATTTTGAACTTGAAATTGAATAACTAGAACACTTTAAATTGCTAAAATACCAACAAATAAATCAAAAAACAGCTGTCAATGGTGATTAAACTCAGGTGGAGGTGTGATCGCTGAATGGAAATCGGAGCAATTCGGGTGGCGTCGTGCAACAATGATTTTCAATTGGTGGGTTACTTTGGCTTAAAATAGACAACATGCGCAGTGTGCAATGTTACATCTTCGGTCTCTTTAATCTAAGAATAAAACAAATGGAACCTGGATGAATAAGTATATAAAACAATTAAATAAAACAAATGAACTAGGGTGAAATCACACCACCCGATATATGTAACAACGGTAATAAAATATAGGCGGAATAAATGTGTTTTTGATAAAGTAAACGGTCTCGGTATCAACAGAAAAGTGCTATAACGATAAAATTAACTATGAGGCATAATAATCCCAAATAACGAATGGCTTAAAACGGAATTTTTTGACCAACACTTTAGGAAACGAGGACGGTTTTAACTTTATTTGTTTGGTTTAAAGTTTTTCTAATATAGACATCTGGCAGTCCATAGCTTCTATAAGAAAAAAACCCTTTCTCCGAGCTATTAAAAGACTAGGGGCTGAAACAGCTCTGATTATCGACGGGGAGAAACAAGCGAATACCGCTATCACCCCCTGATTAACGCGAAAATGGATGAAGGGTGCTAATGCCCCCGGATCTAAATCCAATTTGCTACCCTAACAGGTACTAAGAAATTAAAAGTACAGGTCGAATTTCTTATGTAAATAATAGAAACGGAAATGAAAGTTGCAGGGAGAATTATTAGACGGAATTTTAAATAAAATCCCTACCTTGATTAACTCCTCACTATCTCGGAAACTAAATAACGATTAATATCCAGCACGACATCACTTAAACGGTCAAAACAGCGACCAAAGACGGCGCGGAAAAAAAGGGCCCTCTCATCGAAGACATCTGCTTTTATCAAAAGTCGGACTTTTGCCGGAGTGGGGACGGTAGTTCGTACTCCTTTGTTATTAGTTGTTGCAAAAAAAAAACGTTGATTGATCGGTATATTGATAAACCTACTAGAATTGCGATTTTAAGACATGATTTAATTTATTGTGATAATGAAAAGTTTTAAACTACGAGGGCTCTTGCAAAGGTTTAAAAAAGGTAATTCTATGGAAATATTAGTTACAGGGGATTGCTTTCTCCTAAACTAGGACCAGTAGTTATTATTAAGTCATCTCTTAAGCGAGAAAAAGTATCCTTGCTTTTCTATTTTCTGCAATAACTTCCATACTAAAGAAGAGTTAAAAGAGTTAGAGGAAGGTCTTGCAAATGTTCATAAACGGAAATTAATTTATGGAATAAATTAATGGAAATTTTAGTGACTTCGTCATAAAACAGATGTAAAAAGAGGTAGGCCCCTATCGTTTGATGGGCACATCTGCACCTACTAGTAGGGATAGATGGCCTCCATGACTAGCAATACCAACTGAATATTTTTTACTGTTTTTAGTGGTTACGATTTTAAAATAAACATCGAACTTACCTAATTTGTAGATACAAGTAATACATTTCTATCCATATATTCAAAGGAGCACATATTATTATGAAACTTTACCACTACACAAATTTGTTTTTATTTACTGAGCGTTTTATTATTAGACTGACAGGGACCAAATCACACTATTGGTAATCAGACCTTAATTTTTATTGCCTGAGAAGACAGGAAGCGCCATCTAACATCGAATTAAGAAAGTTTTGGTTTCTGGCTATCTCTCGAGATTGGACACCTCACCGGACTTTACCACTTATCAAAAATCCAGATATTTTTTGTTAATTGTTTAATAAAATCAGAAATCTGGTTTTTCGCCAATCATACCAACTTTTTATTTACTCTTCTAATTGAATTTGAACCGTAATACTTATTAATGTGACTCAATGTGACTCAATTTATCATTCATCATTAAATAAATAGGTTCAAATAAAGAACTAATATGAAATACGAGTATATAACCGCTTTTTCTAGTTCACATAAGCTTAAAGCAGTCTTGGCTTTTTATTGAGAAATAGAATAGAGCTTTACCTCACGCTTATATAATTGTACCGACTTTACAAAACCAAAATAAAAAACGTCTCACAATACAACGGAAATGCATTTAACTTTATTTCCCGAATGTTATTTCTTTTGTAATTCTGTTGTCTTCGCTTGGTTTAATTCCTATTTTTCTTGTTTATATTTTCATTTTCATCTGAATATGTTTCAAATTGGTTTTTGTTATTTGAGATAGTTTTTAAAACAAACTCTAAAAATTACATTAATTCTATATGAAAACAGAATAGTAGAGACTACAAATTATAAATTATTCTTATTAGAGCATTAATGATTGTAGTATGAAATAATTAATCCACCTATCTTCATCATTTAACAAAAAATAGTCAAAAAAAATCAACTGACCTCCCATTATCCAGAATAGGCAAATATTGTTTGTTTATCTAAGAGTAAGACCAATACTATTGTCTGGGTACTAAAAACCCAAAAATTGACACCTAGACAACTAAAACAAATACAAAGAACAGCAAGTATTAACATGAGTCCTGAAAACCATACCAATCAAAACTATGGAAGTACTTAGTTTCACTCCCTTTGATATTTACATTAGTTAGGCTGCTCTGATGACATACTGTTGGAATAGAACCTGACGTAAGATCCATTGAAGTCAAATGTCGCTTTCAACAGGAGGCGCTTAAACCAAATTTATGGACCTCCGAAAAAAATATCTACAAGTTCAAAAATTTTTAAAAAAATTAGAAAGGCATAATAATATGCAACTTTTATTATTTCGCCAAAATTTAATCCGGCGTGTATAATTTCTTTTCAAGAAAAATCGGAAAATTCACTTTTTTATAAGCATTAAACAAAGCAGCCAGAATATCAAGAGATATCATTATTTCATAAAATAAATTAATTTAGATTGGAAAATCACAAATTTTCAAAAAAAAATTAAACTTGCAGAAATGACGCAATTGAAAAATATTTATACTTTATTCGAAAAAATTAGATTTAAACTATAAAAGTGAATGTAATATTACAGGATATACCTTTAATAATTATATTTGAACACATTGTCCTGAAAACATTCTTAATTTTTGTATAAATGTAGTATAAAATTCAATTAATAACAATATTTTGAATTCTCTATTTAAAAACCCTATCTTTGAGAAACTGAACTTGTTGGAATTGCACACAGAAAGCACTAAATTTACTACTTAAACTGATATTTCGCATATCCGCGTACACCAACGATATCTTATTGCCAGATCAAGTTGCATTAATAGGTTCGCTGGATAAAATAAATATTTTTCTGTAACAAGTAATAATTCGTTCGATGCATAACTATTAATGTTACATATGATTTTACTTATTTAATTATTAAAAAATAAAAGGTGTGTTCTGAATAATACATGTGTTTTATTAATTAAAAGAGGTTTACCAAATGTTTACCAAATGTTTACCAAATGTTTACCAAATGTTTACCAAATGTTTACCAAATGTTTACCAAATGTTTACCAAATGTTTACCAAATATTTACCAAATGTTTACCAAATGTTTACCAAATGTTTACCAAATGTTTACCAAATGTTTACCAAATGTTTACCAAATGTTTACCAAATGTTTACCAAATGTTTACCAAATGTTTACCAAATGTTTACCAAATGTTTACCAAATGTTTACCAAATGTTTACCAAATGTTTACCAAATGTTTACCAAATGTTTACCAAATGTTTACCAAATGTTTACCAAATGTTTACCAAATGTTTACCAAATGTTTACCAAATGTTTACCAAATGTTTACCAAATGTTTACCAAATGTTTACCAAATGTTTACCAAATGTTTACCAAATGTTTACCAAATGTTTACCAAATGTTTACCAAATGTTTACCAAATGTTTACCAAATGTTTACCAAATGTTTACCAAATGTTTACCAAATGTTTACCAAATGTTTACCAAATGTTTACCAAATGTTTACCAAATATTAACCAAATGTTTACCAAATGTTTACCAAATGTTTATCAAATGTTTACCAAATGTTTACCAAATGTTTACCAAATGTTTACCAAATGTTTACCAAATGTTTACCAAATGTTTACCAAATGTTTACCAAATGTTTACCAAATGTTTACCAAATGTTTACCAAATGTTTACCAAATGTTTACTAAATGTTTACCAAATGTTTACCAAATGTGTACAAAATGTGTATCAAATGTTTACCAAATGTTTACCAAATGTTTACCAAATGTTTACCGAATGTTTATCAAATGTTTACCAAATGTTTACCAAATGTTTACCAAATGTTTACCAAATGTTTACCAAATGTTTACCAAATGTTTACAAATTGTTTACCAAATGTTTACCAAATGTTTACCAAATGTTTACCAAATGTTTACCAAATGTTTACCAAATGTTTACCAAATGTTTACCAAATGTTTACCAAATGTTTACAAAATGTTTACCAAATGTTTACCAAATGTTTACCAAATGTTTACCAAATGTTTATTAAATGTTTACCAAATGTTTACCAAATGTTTACCAAATGTTTACCAAATGTTTACCAAATGTTTATCAAATGTTTACCAAATGTTTACCAAATCTTTACCAAATGTTTACCAAATGTTTACTAAATGTTTACCAAATGTTTACCGAATGTTTATCAAATGTTTACCAAATGTTTACCAAATGTTTACCAAATGTTTACCAAATGTTTACCAAATGTTTACCAAATGTTTACCAAATGTTTACCAAATGTTTACCAAATGTTTACCAAATGTTTACCAAATGTTTACCAAATGTTTACCAAATGTTTACCAAATGTTTACCAAATGTTTACTAAATGTTTACAAAATGTTTACCAAATGTTTACCAAATGTTTACCAAATGTTTACCAAATGTTTACCAAATGTTTACCAAATGTTTACCAAATGTTTACCAAATGTTTACCAAATGTTTACCAAATGTTTACCAAATGTTTACCAAATGTTTACCAAATGTTTACCAAATGTTTACCAAATGTTTACCAAATGTTTACCAAATCTTTACCAAATGTTTACCAAATGTTTACTAAATGTTTACCAAATGTTTACCAAATGTTTACTAAATGTTTACTAAATGTTTACCAAATGTTTACCAAATGTTTACCAAATGTTTACCAAATGTTTACCAAATGTTTACCAAATGTTTACCAAATGTTTACCAAATGATTACCAAATGTTTACCAAATGTTTACCAAATGTTTACCAAATGTTTACCAAATGTTAACCAAATGTTTACCAAATGTTTATCAAATGTTTATCAAATGTTTACCAAATGTTTACCAAATGTTTACCAAATGTTTACCAAATGTTTACCAAATGTTTACCAAATGTTTACCAAATGTTTACCAAATAATTACCAAATATTTACCAAATGTTTACCAAATGTTTACCAAATGTTTACTAAATGTTTACCAAATGTTTACTAAATGTTTCCCAAATGTTTACCAAATGTTTAACAAATGTTTACCAAATGCTTACCAAATGTTTACCAAATGTTTACCAAATGTTTACCAAATGTTTACCAAATGTTTACCAAATGTTTACCAAATGTTTACCAAATGTTTACCAAATGTTTACCAAATGTTTACCAAATGTTTACCAAATGTTTACGACATGTTTTCCAAATGTTTACCAAATGTTTGCCAAATGTTTACCAAATGTTTACCAAATGTTTACCAAATGTTTACCAAATGTTTACCAAATGTTTACCAAATGTTTACCAAATGTTTACCAAATGTTTACCAAATGTTTACCAAATGTTTACCAAATGTTTACCAAATGTTTACCAAATGTTTACCAAATGTTTACCAAATGTTTACCAAATGTTTACCAAATGTTTACCAAATGTTTACCAAATGTTTACCAAATGTTTACCAAATGTTTACCAAATGTTTACCAAATGTTTACCAAATGGAGAAAGTCATCCTTATTAGGACTCTTCAGCAATAAATGGAAATTCTCGACTCCACTCTCTAATGGAGTCTGATTAGAACGCTTTCTGTCGAACTCAATTACGGCGGGTCGAGCATGAGTAGATGCGAAAGTGGTATCGCCATCTATACTTAGCAAGCAAAATCAAATAACATCTAGTGGATATCCACGATGGTTTGCGTTCGCGCCTAGACTTTGATATATTTAGTGGATGTCCATGGGATATTGAATACACCTTAAAAGAAATTAATTTTAAATATCTGAACGGTACTATTAGCCACAATGGCGAGCACAATGGCGTAATTTTTTAATAATTTGCTATACAGAGTGGCCCAAAAGTCTGGAAACGGCCAATTATCTCGTAAATTACTAGTCCTAATTGTACAAAATTTGGGGTACACCTATTTTGGGATACGAAGATTTAAGATTTGATATTTGCAATGTTGCCAAGTTTGCCGTTTTTCTTATATTATTAGTCACTTTGGTTTTTCAAATTCATCACCCTGTATATTAGGTCATTATTGGAATCTCCTATTGAATACGAGTTCAACCATATGTAACACTTATGATTTTATGTAGTCTGGAAGGTCTTAAATAAATAAAACAGAAGGCTGGCAAAGCCGATTTGTCAATAATTTTTTTAATACAAATTATTTTAAATTACATTAAAACGCAACAATTAAAAGATTATACAATTTTTAACATAATGGTTGCTTTATCAAGTGTTCAAAATGTGCTCCATTTGTGAGTTGACAGTACCCTAATCGATGATAGAATGCATCTACCACATTTCTCCATGATTGTTTTATTTAAGACCTTTCAGACTACATAAAATCATAAGTGTTACATATGGTTGAACTCGTATTGAATAGGAGATTCCAGTAATGACTTAATATACAGGGTGATGAATTTTAAAACCCAAAGTGACTAATAATATAAGAAAAACGGTAAATCTGGCAACATTGCAAATATTAAATCTGAAATCTCCGTATCCCAAAATAGGTTTACCCCAAATTTTGTACAATTAGGACTAGCAATTTACGAGATAATTGGCCGTTTCCAGACTTTTGGGCCACTCCGTATAATTACTATTATTTATGGACATTTGCATGTCTATAAATTACATATCATGGATATAAAACAGATATCCACCATGGACTGGACATTCAGTGGATATTGGGATGTGCAGTAGATATCCAAAGGATTTGGTGTGCTGTCTGGGTGTTTACGAACTGTTTACCAAATGTTTACCAAATGTTTACCAAATGTTTACCAAATGTTTACCAAATGTTTACCAAATGTTTACCCTATGTTTACGAAATGTTTACTAAATTTTAACCAAATGTTTAACAAATATTTATAAAATGTTTACCAAATATTTACCAAATGTTTACCAAATGTTACCAAATGTTACCAAATGTTTACCAAATGTTTACAAAATGTTTACCGAATATTTACCAAATGTTTACCAAATGTTTACCAAATGATTACCAAATGATTACTAAATGTTTACCAAATGTTTACCAACTGTTTACCAACTGTTTACCAACTGTTTACCAACTGTTTACCAACTGTTTACCAACTTTTTACCAACTATTTACCAAATGGTTATTAAATGTTTACTAAATGTTTAACAAATGTTTACCTAATGTTTACCTACTGTTTATCTAATGTTTACCTAATGTTTACCAAATGTTCAATAAATGTTCACCAAATCTTTACCAAATCTTTACCAAATTTTAACCAAATTTTCACCAAATGTTTATTAAATGTTTACCAAATGTTTACCAAATGTTTACCAAATGTTTACCAAATGTTTACCAAATGTAACCAAATGTTTACCAAATGTTTACCAAATGTAACCAAATGTTTACCAAATGTTTACCAAATGTTTACCAAATGTTTACCAAATGTTTACTAAATGTTTACCAAATGTTTACCAAATGTTTGCCAAATGTTTACCAAATGTTTACCAAATGTTTACCAAATGTTTACCAAATGTTTACCAAATGTTTACCAAATGTTTACCAAATGTTTACCAAATGTTTACCAAATGTTTACCAAATGTTTACCAAATGTTTACCAAATGTTTACCAAATGTTTACCAAATGTTTACCAAATGTTTACCAAATGTTTACCAAATGTTTACCAAATGTTTACCAAATGTTTACCAAATGTTTACCAAATGTTTACCAAATGTTTACCAAATGTTTACCAAATGTTTACCTAATGTTTACCAAATGTTTACCAAATGTTTACCAAATGTTTACCAAATGTTTACCAAATGTTTACCAAGTGTTTACCAAATGTTTACCAAATGTTTACCAAATGTTTACCAAATGTTTACCAAATGTTTACCAAATGTTTACCAAATGTTTACCAAATGTTTACCAAATGTTTACCAAATGTGTACCAAATGTTTACCAAATGTTTACCAAATGTTTACCAAATGTTTACCAAATGTTTACCAAATGTTTACCAAATGTTTACTAAATGTTTACCAAATGTTTACCAAATGTTTACTGAATGTTTACCAAATGTTTATTAAATGTTTACCAAATGTTTACCAAATGTTTACCAAATGTTTACCAAATGTTTACCAAATGTTTACCAAATGTTTACCAAATGTTTACCAAATGTTTACCAAATGTTTACCAAATGTTTACCAAATGTTTACCAAATGTTTACCAAATGTTTACCAAATGTTTACCAAATGTTTACCAAATGTTTACCAAATGTTTACCAAATGTTTACCAAATGTTTACCAAATGTTTACCAAATGTTTACCAAATGTTTACTAAATGTTTACCAAATGTTTACCAAATGTTTACCAAATGTTTACCAAATGTTTACCAAATGTTTACCAAATGTTTACCAAATGTTTACCAAATGTTTACCAAATGTTTACCAAATGTTTACCAAATGTTTACGAAATGTTTACGAAACGTTTACCAAATGTTTACCAAATGTTTACCAAATGTTTACCAAATGTTTACCAAATGTTTACCAAATGTTTACCAAATGTTTACCAAATGTTTACCAAATGTTTACCAAATGTTTACCAAATGTTTACCAAATGTTTACCAAATGTTTACCAAATGTTTACTAAATGTTTACCAAATGTTTACTGAATGTTTACCAAATGTTTATTAAATGTTTACCAAATGTTTACCAAATGTGTACAAAATGTTTACTAAATGTTTTCTAGATGTTTACCAAATATTTAACAAACGTTCACCAAATATCAGTATCATGCTTGTTGATTAGTTTTTAGTAGAAATTGGATTGTAGAAAGAGAGGAGAGCGAGAGAGAAAGAGTTTTTAAATAATTAATTACTGCTACTCATCATAAATAAATATTGACGCGTTTAGGGTTTTGGATTTTTAGATTTTTATATTTTAAAGGGGTGAAACGGGAAGGGGGAAATTTGTATGGAAGTACCGGTTTTTTAAAGGTATGAAATTAAAAACGGAATTGTAGCTAGTCATCATAAATAAATATTTTTTAAATTTTCATATTTAAAAGGAGGGAAACAGGGGGTGAAAATTTGTATGGGAATATTGGTTTCTTTAAAGGTAGGAAATTAAAAATTGGAATTATAACTACGTATCATATATAAATATTGACGTTATTAGGGTTTTTGCTTTTTACATTTTAAGGGGGTGAAAAGGGGGGAAAATTTGCATCGGTTTTTAAGGGTAGGAAATTTAATATTGGAATTATAGCTACTCATCATATATAAATATTGACGTATTTATGGTTTTTGAATTTACACATTTAAAGGGAGGGAAACAGGTGATGAAAATTTAAATGGGAATATCGGTTTTTTTCAAGGTAAAAATTAAAAATTGGAATTGTAGCTACTCATTATAAATATTGACGTGTTTTAGGTTTTTGAATTTTTACATTTTAAAGGGTTAAACGGGAGAAGGTCGTATCGATTTTTAAGAGTGGAAAATTTAAAATTAAAATTGTAGCTATACATCATAAATAAATAAACGTATTTAAGGTGTTTGGATTTTCACATTTAAAGAGAGGGAAACGGGGCGAAAATGTGTATGGGAATATCGGTTATTTAAAAGTAGTAAATTTAAAATTGGAATTGTAGCTACCCATCAATAATAAATATTGACGTGTTTAGG